GCATCGCCACGAGATGAGGTGCAGCAGCTGCAAGACACTCAAAGTCCTCCTGCCCGTCCTCAAGGACGTCCGTGCCAAGAGCACACTCACCCCCGACGGACGGAGGATAGAGAGACTCAGACTCAGCAACAAGACTAGCAGCGTAGTCGAGACAACAAGCAGCAGCAAAGTTAACGAGCTCTGTGACTAAGGCAGACGCAGCAGCAAACTCAAACGAAGGGTAAGTGATAGTAGTGGCTAAGAGACGCATAACGGTAGGACTGGCTGCACGAACCAGGTCAGGCTCAGGGTCCGAAATGTGCAGAAGAGAGGACGTAGGAGGAGACGGCAGGGGAACACGCCGTGGAACAGAGGAGGGACAAAGTGCCATATTGTGCGTGCCGGGGACAGCGGGAGGACACTTACGAGGAACACGGCGACTAGTGCGACTAGCACGAACATGCAAGGCAGGACGAGACGCAGGCTTACGTCGCTCAGTAAGACCTCCGATCTGCTTAGTGTATGGAGAGGGAGCATGCAGTGGGAAGCCTGGCTAGAATGGGAGACCAGTAGAAGACGGGAGACTAAGAACCTGGCGAAGCACCGAGTCAGACGGTGGCAGAGACAACGGTGACAGCGGAGCAAAGAACAGACGCGGCAGTGCAGCACCACCGGTACCATCTCCTCCAGCACCACCACCCCCAGTACTAATACCAGCAGCTCCAGGGTCTCGCCCAGCTCCAGAAACTCCAGCTCCAGCACCTCCAGCTCCCGGGTTACCAGCTCTAGCGCCTACAGCTCCAGGGCCTCCAGCTCAAGAGTCCGCAGCACCACCAGCTCCGGCCGCGCCAGTACCTCTAGCTCCCGCGCCTCCATCAGCAACGCCTCCAGCCCCAGCAGCGCCACTCTAAAGGCGGTAGTGCTGAGTGTACCACTCGCGTAGCTGCTACGGCGAGAGAGCGCCTCTAGAACATCCAGGACGAGCACCTCCAGGACTAGCAGTGCCATCTCCACCAGCACCACTAGTACCAACACTACCACCAGCTCCGGCAACTTTAGTACCTCCAGTACGAGCACCCCTAGGACCAGCAACTCCAGCACCTCCAGCAGCAGCACCACCACTACCTGCTCCAGCAGCTCCAGTACCTTCGATACGAGCACCCCCGGGACCAGCAGCTCCAGCACCTCCTGCAGCAGCAGCACCACCACCAGCTCCAGTACCTCCAGTACGAGCACCTCCGGGACTAGCAGCTCTAGCACCACGAGCAGCACCACCACCACCAGCTCCAGCAGCTCCAGAAACTCCACTACCTCTAGCACCTCTAGCACAAGCCGCACCACCATCTCCGGCAGCTCCAGCGCCACCAGCACGAGCAACCCCAGGACCAGCAGTGCCAGCACCACCAGCACCTCCAGGACCAGTAGTTCCAGGGCCTCCAGCTCCAGCAGCACCACGCCGAAGGCTACAGCGCCGAGCGTACTACTCGCGTAACTGCTATGGTGAGAGAGGCTCCCATAGTGTAGACACAGGACCCTTAGGCTTAGCACCCCCAGACTCAGCACCCCCAAGCTCCACACGCTCAGGCTCAGCACCCCCAGGCTCCGCACGCTCAGATGCAGCACCCCCGGGCCCCGCACTCGCAGGCTTAGCACCTCTAGGCTCCTCACGCTCAGGCTCCGCAACCGCAAGCTCAGCACCCCCAGGCTCCTCGCGCACAGGCTCAGCACCCCTAGGCTCCTCACACTCACGATCAGCACCCGTAGGCTCAGCACCCCCAGCAGCACCAGAGTCACCAGTGACCTCAACAGGCTCAACCAAGAGGAGTGGGTCTACCTGAGACACATCTGAAGGAGCAGGACCCTGAGGGGGGAGGGGGTCTACCGGAGGGGGACTTGGAGCAAGGAAGAGCAGCGAGGGAGGGGGAGGAGTAATGCGGTAGGGGAAGAGACGGTAAAAAGGAACCGAGTCGTCAAACGTGACGTCCTGAGAGGACAGAACACGGCGCGAGGTGGGGTGGTAAAACTGCCAGCCAGGCGCGTCAGGGGGAAAACCAAGGAAGACACAGGGAATGGCGCGGGCAGAGAGCTTTTCCGCGGAGGTATTGCGAACAAAGGCACGAGATCCCCAGACTTGGAAAAGTGACACATCACCAACCTCTCCCGTCCAACGCAGTGTCGGCAAGGTCTCCGGCAAGGAGACACGGGGCCAGGAAAAGAACGGCGGAAAAGGGGTGTCAGAATGTTATTATCTAGCCTGTAGTGGGGTGCTCTATAGCGGGTACAACCCAGCTAGGGTTTGCTATATGTATCCCAACTGCTGCTAGTGAAAACCCTCCCTCTTTTGCCTAACTTTCTCTTGCGTAGCTAGGGCTTACCTAGCCATGGCTCCTAACTCTGTCTACTTGGAAGAAAATTTCCCGACGCTAGGCGCGCAGTGTGGCATGACCTTACACGCATCGATGAGATAAGTACACATTCTACAATTGAAGTCTGTTGCCCTCCCCTCCACTCCTCGTTTTACCTTCTCTCCAATCTCCTGTCTCCACATCTTGAGTCCCCCCATTCACCCCCCTTGGTGTCTCTATGCATCCATTCTCGCCGCGAGGCTGAACGGATCCCAAGTGGTTGGGGCCACCGGCAATGCCAACGCCACCGGTCGAATCTGCCTCGCTCTCTTCCTGTAAGCCAACCGCCTGTGGTGTGCCCACTTGCTCATCTGTGTCCCCACTTGGCCCTCTGTGCCGCCTATGATGCGCCCACTTGGCCGTCTGTGCCGCCTTTCGCCTTCCAGCTGAGCCGCCTCAACCGTTGCTTTGCAGCCAGTTCACCCAAGCTCAACTCAATTGACTTCACCTTGTTCCCGACTTCAAATCAAACATTTCAGTATCGTACCCTGCTTGTTTTACATGATCCTCCTCATCATCATCTCTCGTTCTCCATTCCTCCCTTCTGCTCGTTGCTTGTTTGAACCCTGGCGTAAACCGCTAGGCAAGACCACGACTACAACATCTTCTATAGTGTCGCCGTCTCCACCTCCGACCTTGGCGAGCCGTCCAGTGTTTCTATCTGGCGAGGCGCAGCGAGAGACGCGGGGACCACTGTATATAATATTATCGAGGAAGGACAAACCGCCAGGTGGGCGAATCTTAGTCGTCTGCCGCCTCCCCCGCCCAAGGGCAAAAAGAACAAGGGCACTCCGCCCGCCCCGCCTCCTCCGAAGTACACTTATGCTACAAATGGGACGTGGCTTAAAGCGATTACGGTGGCCACGATCGGGGAGCAAACACTAAGGGAGCTCGTGGAGACGATTATTGAGATTCCAGATGGGTACTACGCATCATTCGCGACGGCTGCTTATGAGTCAGCGGCGGCTAGGGGGCAATTTAAAAAGGAGTCGCTTCCGCCGCCGCCAAAGGATAAGAAGGGCGAGAAGAATGGAGGGAAGAACGAGGGCACTGGAGGGGAGAATCGAGACGATCGGTTCAGAACCCTTGTTGGTAAGATGTGCTCCCCGCTACTAGCCTTCTCCGACTCTCTTGCCTCTGCCATCTCTTGCCTTGCTCACCTTCAGAATCAACCATGCGCCGTGCCCCCTACCTTAGTTCCTCTTCAAACAGTCCTTCCCTTACACATTTGCTTACATTTCCTAATGGCCGATCTTTTCCTCTCCGTGATTATTTTGTCCAGGTGTGGTGGAAGCACGTCTCAACGGCTCCAATGCTAACCTCACTGCTGACATCAACGCCACAGGTTGCATTTCTTTCGCCGTCTTCCGGTAAGCTTCCTCTTCTCGCTCTTCTCATTTTCCTCACCTTTACCCTCAGATCGCGCGTCTCTCTCGCAACCTCACCTTGCCATCTTCCCATAAGCTGACCCATCATTCCGTTCCTCCCCCCCAATCTTCGTTCAACTCAATTCTACCCTCCATTTTTCTCAACCTCCCCTCACTCCTACTCACATTTTTTTGCGTTATCTCTTTCCAGTTACATCTTTTTACCTTTTGGCCTCCTTACCTGCCTGTCCCATCACCAAACACCCGCCCTTCCCTGCCCTACCCTGCCCCTCCCTGCCACCTATTATGTGATGCTATCATTTGCATTCACGTCTGTCTGCCTCCCATCATGCGTTCGTGCGTTGCATGTGTGAAATGAGCGTGCGCAAGAATTTGTGTTTTTCTGTGGTTTGGATTTTCTGAGTGTGTGTGAATATTATTTGGCTTGAGCAGATATCTGAAGTGACTCCACTGCTCAAGATCTTTCCGACGAGCCAAGAATCGTCGCGATCGGAGCAATATCAAGAAAGTTACAAACGTTGGAGTTCGTATGCTTTCTGTACTTCGGTTGTGGCGACTATGGGAAGTTGTGGGGTTGACTCAATATGGGGTACAGACTTTTGGGGGTTGGGAATTCGAACCCATCACTGTAGAATGCTGCCATGTGGTTGGGTGAAGCCAAACCAGGTTGGCAAGTGTGGCCAAGTGGGTTGAGGTGGATGGCATGAGTTGGGAAAGTGACAAATGTGAAAGTGGGGTTGCCTATGGGGAAGGGAATTGTGTGGCATGGGGTTTCCTTGGTTGGGAAATCTCTTGGGACCTTCCCTCTCGTCCTCCTCTTCCCTCCTACCTGGTTTAGTGCTACCCTAACTCTCTTGTGTGCAACTTTGTGGAACTTGTGAGAACTATATTTGTTATTGAGTTAAGCATGTGGCAGCATACCCCCTAGTGCGCCAAAATTGATAACTCGAGAAATACTCCACCTTATTACATGATTCAACTTGGGAATTGTAGCCATGGACTAGAGCTACAACATATCTGAAATTCGTGAAGTTTTGACGGTGCGTTTTCCGTCGACGGCGTTTCTTGTGAACTCGACGATTCTGTCCAGAATTTCAAGCCAACGATTTTGATAAATTTAGGCTCCTAATCTTCGTTGACTCCGTCCTTAGTTTCTAACACCACCCACTCCCCCCCCACCATTAGAAGCCCCACAACCAGCGACTACAACATTAACCACCACGTCAGCATGGCTCTAACCGACTCTGGCGAGCCCACCAAATTTGTGATCAAGAAAGGCGCTGACGTGTCACTCACCATGGACACCAGCGGCGCCACGTGGACCAATCACACGCTCTCCGAATTCAAACGCGCCAAGTTGGGCAAACAGCCACCTCCCCCTCCCCTCGGATACACCTACGAAAGTGTTGGCGCTTGGCTAAGCGTCAGTGGTTACATAGCGGATAACGGGCAGACGTATAAAGAGCTTATGGATGCCATGCTAGCTGCTCATGATGCCTATTCTGCTCTCATCTACACCAAGACGTTCGAGGCCGGTGCGGCGAGCGGCGCTTTCGCAAGTGTCACCAAGGGAGGTGGTGAAGGGTCGGGCAAATTGGCAATTAAATCCAGCTAGGGCGACTCTTTCCCCAGCCAATTGGCCATTAAAGTCAGAAACGGACTCGCTTGAAAGCCCATTGGGCGCGGACTAATTGTACTCTTTCCCTAGCCAATTGGTCATCAAAGCCTTGTATGATAGCATATCGACCACATCGACCTTGAACGATAGCACAAATTATCATCAAGCATCAAAAGACAAAGCTGGTGCGGTAGATAGTCAATTAATGGTCAGGTCACACTTCCCAGCAAAATCGATAAAGCCCCACTGAAGGAGCTGGTGGATGTGATTATAGCGAAGCCGGATAGTTATTACGGAACCTTCCGAGCAACTTGGGGAACCTGACGGGTGAACCCCCCGCACTTGGCGGGCAGTGTCGCATGTGTCCTTACACACAACGATGAGATAAGCACTCCTCATTTCACCACATGGTCTGTTGCCCTTCATTCCTCGCTTCTTACCTTCTCGCCCATCTCGTGTCTCCACGCCTTGATAGATACCCCTATTCACTACCCTCGGTATCTCCCGCCCCCTCCCTGCCCCTTCCTGCCCCTCCCTGCCCGCTCCTCTCATCTCCATGCAACCATTCACACCGCGCGGCTGAACGGATCCCAAGTGGTTGGGACCACCGGCGACGCCAACGCCACCGGTCGAATCTGCCTCGCTCTCTTCCTGTAAGCCAACTGTCAGTGATGCGCCCACCTGCTCCTCTGTGCGCCCACCTGCTCCTCTGTGCCCTCACCTGCTCCTCTATGCCCCCACCTGCTTCTTTGTGCCCCCACCTGCTTCTCTGTGCCCCCACCTACTTCTCTGTGCCTCCACCTGCTTCTCTGTGCCCCCACCTGCTTCTCTGTGTCCCCACCTGCTTCTCTGTGCCCCCACCTGCTTTTCTGTGCCTCCACCTGCTTCTTTGTGCCCCCACCTGCTTCTCTGTGCCCCCACCTACTTCTTTGTGCCTCCACCTGCTTCTCTGTGCCTCCACCTGCTTCTCTATGCCTCCATCTGCCAAGACGTTTGAGAACGGTGCGGCGAGTGGTGCTTTCTTCTACATCAACAGGGGTGGTGGTGATTAGTTTTGCACCTTGGCTGTTTAGGCGTGGTAACAAGAGAGCACGACGGATCCGTACTCATACACATCCCCAACCAGTAGTACCATGTGGTCCTCATTGCGGATGGGGCTACAATAGTACCACGTGGTCCTCATTGCGGATGGGACTACAGTAGTACCACGTGGTCCTCATTGCAGACCTCTTGCCCCTGCAGCAAGGGGACCTCCTCCACACATTGGAGTCAAGGGTAGGTGCAAGGAGGCATGTAGATGTACAGAGCTGTATTTGCACGTTCCACATTTGTCCCTTTATTGACTATCTTTCGTGTACCAATCACCGCATAAATAAATGTTTGAACTAGGAGGTAGGTGAGAATGGGTGTCGATTAGGTAAGAGGGAAGGGTACAAGACTAACGAGAGAAATGGGTTGTACCCTCTAAGGAACGACCCCTACACAACCTAGAGAGAAATGAATAGAGATATGTTTTGACACACCCCCATAGGTGAAGTAGGGGATAGCCAAACCTAACAGTGGTCACAAGACCAGTCTAGCAAGAGAACAAACAAGGCAAAGCCCAGGGTGGATCTCAAGGACACCACACAATCTGAGCACAAGCAGGTGGCCACAAGGCCAGTTCACATGCAGATATATAATAGCAAGGCAGTACACTGATCACAACCTAGCAAGAGTAAACAAGCAGGTATAAAGATATATATCGGTGTACAACAAGAGCAAGTCAAGCAACCAGCAGGTGAGGCTGAGTGAGCACAAGCCCAAGAGCAGTACAGAAACGCTGATGATCACCAGACCCAAGGGCCTTGGTGAAGACATTAGCAGTGTTGGCCCGAGAGGCCACGTAAACAAGGTGCAGCTAACCAGGCTGCTGTAGCTCACGCGCAAGGAAGTAGCGAAGAGCAATGTGTTTCATTATGTGCTCCAGTCTCTGCTCGCGACACAAGGCAAGCATTACCTTGTTGTCGACATACAGAACTAGAGGAGAATGAGGCCGCTCCCCCAAGTTGGTCAGCAGATAGGTCAGCCAGCGTAGCTCCTGTGCAGTCATGGCCCCTGCGTAGATCTCAGCCTCACAGCTGGAACCAAGCACAGAAGAAGAACGAGTGGACCTCCACGAGACAGAATCAGCGCCAAGACTGAAGGTGTAACCCTGGGACGAACGCTGAGTCGCCTGGTCGTCGGCCCAAGAAGCGTCGGAGTGTCCTGTGAGTACTACTGAACCCTGTCCTCCAAGCACGAGCCCCATGTCCGATGTACTGCACAAGTAACGCAATACCCTCTTCGCAGCATCCTAGTGCACCTTTCAGTGTCTACTGGGAGCCACGTAGCGATCCAGGAGGTTGAGAGGGTACGCGAGGTCAGGTCGTGTGAATGTCATGTCGGAAACTCTCTGTGTGTCCCCTCTCTCCTGACTCCTGCCGACCATGCACCCACCCCCTTTCTTCTCTTGGGCTCCTCTCCTCCCAATCACTCTTTCTATTGCTGCTAGGGCACCACCAGCCCCTTGTCTGCTGTATACCGTGTACCGTGTGACCGAGCTTCATCGTGATGCCTCACTCAGAAAACCTCCTACCCACTACTGGCTGACAAGCTGGTTCCCTAGCGTGCTCATGACCGCCTGCGACTTGGATAACAGGATTACATTGGAGCAATTGGGAAACATACAACGAAGCAGCCAACACTAGGGATTCAGCACAGCTATATACAATAAGACTCATCCGCCCTAGCCTAGCGCTTCTAACATGCACACATCACATGGGCGAGGCTGGGGGGTGCCGAGCCGTATTTACAAACCGCAGGCGCCCTGGATCTGCATGGGCTCCATCACAAGCCCTCCGCCAGCTGCACGCATGGCTTGCATGTCTTACTGCAGCTCCAGCCACCTGTCGATTGAGCTGTGCTTGTACGCGTCAACAGCTCTCGCCCTGCATAGGAAATGTAACACAAACGAAACATACACCCCCCCCTCCAACTCGTACCCCCAACATACTCATGCAAACATTCTTGAGCGCTATTTACACTTATGTACATAATTCCTCCTTCCCTCCGCCCCTCTTGACTCTGCCTCTGCTGCGACCTGCTGCTACACCCGCTGATAAACTCTTGGCGCTGTCCCGGTTATTACGTGGCCCTCCCGGCTTCGTAAAGCCGCGACAGCTGTCGGAAACTCTCTGTGTGTCACCTCTCTCCTGACTCCTGCCGACCATGCCTGGAGCCCTCTGGTCACCCACCCCCTTTCTTTTCTTGGGCTCCTCTCCTCCCAATCACTCTTTCTATTGCTGCTAGGGCACCACCAACCCCTTGTCTGCTGTATACCGTGTACCGTGTGATCGAGCTTCATCGTGATGCCTCACTTGCCCCCTCTGGAACAGGCTAGGGCTCCTGCTTGCTCTGGTCCAGACCATTCATGCTCCTAGATCGTGCCCTTGCTGTATTCGTTGTGTGGTCCAGGACTCTCCTCCCCTGCTGATTCTCCAGCACCACCACTCCAGACTCCCGGACCTCCACCACTCTCCAGCGTTCCTCGCTGAGGCCGTGGTCCAATGTGTGCTGCCTCGGAGTCCTGCGATACACTTCCTGTCCTTCCTGCAGCCGTCCTCCACATGTCAGCCTCTGCCCCCCGAGCCTCTGCTGGTATCGCGGCGAGCGTCTCGCAGCTGAGCCACATGGAGATTCTCTACAGCTGAAGGCAGGAGTGCTCGTAGGTAGTCCCCCTTGGTCTTGGCCAGTGCCGCCCACAACTCTGGGGTTCCTGATGTCACCACATCAGTCAACACTTTGGGCGCCCCTACCGGCAGGATTGGCTCTCTGCCATTCAGCAAATAGTATGGGGACATATCTCGCAGCGCAGCCTGCTTGCTGAATCGATACCCCGCCATGACCCAGTGCAGATCCTCATCCCAGCTGCGCTTGTGAGCCTCTCCATATGCCCTTAGCCCTCGCTTGAGCGTTTGCACCATACGTTCTGTGAGGCCGTCTGCTTGCGGATGATATCGGGAGGTCCTCCTGTGCGTAATCCCGATAACTGCCAGCGCCTTGTCAAACTCCCCCCGAAAATATGTGCCCTGATCCGTGAGCACTTCACCGCATGCCCCCATCCTAGTGAGCACTTGTTCCGTGAAGGCCTCCGTGACTAGTGCCGCGCTCTTGCTGCTGAGCGCGCGCACCTCCACCCACTTGCTGACATGCTCGATCATGACCAATATGTACCGCTTGCCTCGCCGGCTGAGAGGCAATTCCCCCGCCAAATCCAAGGACCATCTGTAGCCCAGCCCACGGATGGGGAGCGACTGCAGCTCTTGCTGGCTCTTCTCCAGCTGGGCCCTATTGCGGTCGCAAGCCTCACACTGCGCCACTTGCTCCTTAATCTGTCGCGCCATGCCTGCCCACCACCAGCCCGTGTTCACTAGCTGGGTTGTCCTGACGTGCCCGAAGTGCCCCAACTGTCGGTGCACCCTGTCAATGATGCCTTCTCGTTCTGCTGGTGCGGGCACCAGCTTCTACCCTTCTTTGGTCCTCAGCTGCACCTGCCCCGCATACCACCTGTAGTGTTGCCCCCTTGCCCGTGCTCTCTCCGAGGCCGGCTCCTCTGCCTCCGTTTCTCCCCGCAGCCACCTCAGTGTCTCTTCGTCTTGCCAGATGTCAGCAGCTCCGCGCTGCTCCTGACGCTGCTCCCCCTGCCTTTCCACCTCCCTTGCTAGAGCCATGAGCCCGGCCACTGGCTCAGCCGCTGGCGGGTTGCGAGATAGCCCATCTACGTGCTGGAGCGTACGGCCTGGCCTGTGCTTCACCACGAAATCAAACTCCTGCAACCGCATGGCCCACCGTGCATTGCGGCCCGTCAGCGTATGATTAGTCATTAGCCACAACAGCGGCTGGTGGTCTGTCACCAGGGTGAACTCGCGCCCCTGTAGATATACTCGGAAGTGTGTCACCGCCCAAACCGCCGCCAGCCCTTCCCCCTCATAGGAGCTGTAGTTTGCCTCCGCTGCGTTGCAGCTGCGGCTTGCAAAGGCCACCACCCTCTTCCCCTGCTCTGTCTGCTGGCTGAGCACTGCCCCCATGCCTGCGCTGCTCCAATCTGTGTACAGCACGAACGTGGCCTCTGGCTTTGGCACCAGAAGCACCGGTCCCGACTTTACTGCTTCCAGCAGGTCTCGCAGTGCCCCCTGCTCCGCCTCTCCCCACTTCCAGGCCACATCCTCCCGCAGCAACCTGTTCAAGGTAACTGCCCGCTTACTAAAGTTCGGCACAAACTTACGGTAGTAATTCAAGAAGCCCAGAATTGCCCTCAGCGCGGAGCGACCACTCGGGATCGCCAGGTTGTCCAGCACCGCGACCTTCGCTTGCTGAATGGTCATCTGGCCTCCACACACTTCAAACCCCAGATACCGCACCGTGTTCGTGCCGAAACGGCACTTCTTGGGGTGGCATGTGAGTCCGGCTCCCCTGATGGCTTCTAAGACCTGCTGCACATCCTTCACGTGTTGTTCGGGCGTCGCGCTGAACGCTACCACGTCGTCTATGTAGCAGGCCGGGCAGTGCTGCAGCGCGCGCAGCACCCGATTCACCGCCTTCTGGAATACTACCGATGCGTTCTTTAGTCCGAAAGGCATGAACAGCCACTCGTAAAGTCCGTCCGGCCCGTGAAATGCTGTCTTCCTCACGTCCGCCTCTACGATTCGTATCTGATTAAAGCCTTGGCGAAGATCTAGCGTGCTGAAGATCACTGCCCCTTGCAACTTGTCAAATTTCTCCTCTGGCGTTGGCATGTGATAGCGGTTCGCCACCGTCAGCTTGTTGAGATCCCTGTAGTCGCCGCACATGCGCCGTGAAAGCACTTCTTCTGTGAGTTCTTTCCTCGCGGCCACCACGGTTGCGGCAGCGTACTCTGACTCAGAGGGCCTGATGAGCCCTGCCTCTAGCAACTCCCGACACTTCTCCCTGCACAAATCGAGATCTCCTGGGCTCATGCGGTGCTTGCGTTGGTACACCGGCACCTCCTCCG